TTTAAAGCACCTACATTTTTCTCAAAGCCATCTAGATATTTTCTTCCTAAATGGTGTGCTGAGCTGTTAGTGTCTCACATGTCAAAAATGTGAAAAAAGGAAAGGAAAACAAACTTATAAAAGCCTCAGAATTACACCCATGTGCCTGCTGGGGACAGGCAGAAAGCAGTTGCAAGCGCAGGGTGGAACAGACAGACCCTTTGTGACTGTGACCCACTTCAGAACCAGAAGAATACCAAATCATATTCTAAAAATCAAACATACACTACAACATTCATTAATTTGATTGAAAAATATATTTTTGTCCCGATTTACATTCATTTGTGTAGTGTACGTAGAGGCAATTGCACAATAACTTAAAATGAAGTCTTAGTCTTGTATATTGTAGGGGGGTATGGGTGTGTGGGTATGTGGGGTGCTGGGGGCAGTGTGAGGTTTGTGGGTGTATGTGGGGTGAGAGAGCATGTGGGGGGTGGATATATGGTATGGGTGGGTGTGGGGTTTGTGAGGGGCTGTGAGCGTATAAAGGGAGGGTGGCTGGGGAGGCTTGTAGCATGTGTAGAGGGGCAGAATTTGCCCACAGCCCCTTCCCCCCATGGCAAGCAAAGCCCCCCTGCAACATGCCTCCAAGCCCAGACTCCGCAGTCCTGGCCCCAAGGCACTGGCACGACCCCATGCTCCCGCTTGCAGCCACTTCCCCCCCATTTGCCACCACTGTCCTTCCGCCATTTCCCTGTCTGCCCGGCCCCACCCCCCAGCTCACTGCTACAGCACCACTGCCCAGCTACATGGCCGAGACTGCAGGATGCAGCAGGAGTCGGATGCTACAGGTCTGGCCGGCACTGTGCGGGGTCAGCCGAGAATCACAGGGGCCAGGCCAGCTCCTGATGTACCCTGTGACCCAGCACTGCAGCCAGGAACAACGTGGTGCCAGAGCAACTGGCGAGGGGATGGAGGGGAGCAGCAGCAGGCAAATATCTGCAGCAGGTGGGGGAAGTGGCAGCAAGTGGGCAAACTGAGCTCGGTGACAGCTGGGCAGGAGCACAAGACCTGCGCAGCACACTGGGGCCAGTGCCTGCCAGTGGGGCCCAGAGCAAGGCAGCAGGGCATAGGCTGGTAGGAGCTCTATGGAGCCAGGCCAGGCTGCATCAGCAGGGAAAGTGGGGTTCACAGCTTCCCTGCCTGCGGCTGCCACCACTCCCCTCCACCCTCCCACCAGCTACTCTGGCACCACATGGCTCCCAGCTGCAACGCCAGGACCACAGCAGCCGGCCTGGCCTGGCCCAACCCTGAGGACTGCAGCAATCACCCACAGCCCTCCCCTGCCTTCTTATCTGAATTTCCCTCAGGCACAGGGAAGCAGGAATAGCCCCAGGGACGCAAGCTAAAAGCCTCTGCTCCATGCAGGGCTTCTGGCTAGGGGTGGAAAGGACAGGGCCACAGGTCCTTGCTTCTGCAGCCACTTGATCCTGCCAGCAGCTTCCCCTGGGTCCTACTGCCCCTAGCTTCTGTCAACTTTGACAGGCAGCCAGCAGATTAATATTAATTTTCTAAAATTTTTATGGGCCCCACAGACCAAATAGAATGGCCTGGCAGGCCAAATCCGGCCCACAAGCTGTATTTTGCCTGCCCCTGGCCTAGAAGATGCAAATCTACCCTGCCTTCTGCCAAATTTTTGCTGCCACCAGCTGAAAACTATATATTTTTTTGTTTGGGGATTTGAAAACCCTTATCAAATAAACTTTTGGTCTTCTCCAGACTAAATAGTATCAGTTCTTCCAAGCTTTCCTCCTTGTGCGTCACGTTTTCTTGACCTAAATCCTGGAAATATGCACACACATTTACTGTCCCTGTGCCCTTTTCTCACTTCTGCTGTTGAAAATTACTTAAGGATAGTAATTTTCAAACCCAAGACAGACCGACCATTTTCTTTCCTGCATGAAAACTTGCGTATAACGCATTTCAAGCCTGAGCCATTTAGTGTCACCAAATCTTGCCGTTTTAAATGAGGCAGATTATTTGGTCTCCAACAAAGATTTTCTAAGCTCTCGCTACCTCCATTTCAGAAAACAGCTTTTCCTCCCACTGCCCAGTTGGCAGATTTGACCGCAATTTGCTTGACCCCCTTCCACTACCCACGTGCATGCAAGTTTTAAACAGTTGCAAAACGTAGTTGCAAAGGCACAAAAGGGGGCAGGGTCCCCAACTACTGTGCATGAAAGCAAGATGTCATCAAAAAAATAAATCACTAAATCAAGCTAAACAAAAACCCTTTTGCATCACTGGTTTGCTCGTGGCCCAGTCCTGTGGGACCAAAAACTGCTGGTACTAGGTAGCCTACAGGGGCAAAGAAGAGAAACCCAGCTCCCAGGCTGGACAATCCCCTGCTTTATATGTGGCAGGGTAGGCTCTTCAGGTTCTGCTGTGTCAGGGTTGAGGGGACTAGGTTCATTGGGTAAAAGTGGTATCTTATTAGACTAACTCAATTAGTTGAAAAAAATCTTCTTTGAAAGCTTCCAGGTGCAAACACCCTTCATCAGGCTGAGGAAGTGTCTGCAGTTGGTTATGGGGATGCTTATGTAGAGCAAAGAGGATGCTTGCACAGGATGGTTTGGCTATGAGTGATCAGGCTGGGGGTTGACCAGATGCCCTCTGGAGGCCCCTGCCAGCCCAACTTCTCTAGGACTCTAGGAAAAGCCCCTTAATGCATGTGTAGATGCGCCCATAATGCTCATTAAATTTAGCTCTCCAATGTGGGGTACTAAAGAAATACACATTAGGCTGCCTTAATGCACAGTAATGAATGTGCATGGTTTTTAAGTGACGCTTCATGCACAGAATCCTATTTTACTGCACATTCACATAATCCATTTTTTACCTGACATTCAGAGCACAGTAAAAGAGGCTACTGCACATTAAAGCATGCATACAGACGCATCCTATGATGCTAACCCTCTTGTGGGGGCTCCCTAGGCAGGGATCACCTCAAGACCTGGGTGTGCTTGGGGCTGGCTCTGCTCAGAGGGCCACGAGCAGAGCAGGCTGCACCTGTGGCACCGCGGGGCTGCTCCCCAACACCCGACCCGACCCGGCCCGGCCGCCCCCCACGCGCGAGGCTAGGGGGAAAGCAACGTTCGGCGCGCCCCCATTGGCGGGTGGCCGGGGGGACGGCCAATGGCGACCTGCCCCCACTCCTGCCCTCCCCTCCCCCCAGGCCCGCACCTGCGTGGAGCGGGGCGGCGGCGCTGGGGGGCGGGCTG